AGAAGAAGCATGAGGACTAGGATGATTTCCTCCAAGTTAGAATATATCTAACTAATCTTAACCTTTTATCTTAGTACTAATTAGTCAAGAACTTTCCTGGTGCAAATGTCCATGTGTAAAAGTCGCCATACTACTCTAGTTGTTCGGTCTATACCTTTCTAGGAAACTGTAGAAAAAACTAAGTTTACACATGGATAGGTTATAACTCAAGATAGCTACAATTATGTCAGTGTATGAATTCATACAGACATCACAGTGGCAGATTTTAATACAACCATCTGATTCTTGATAGCTTAAACAAATAACAAAAATAAAGATTAGTAAAAAATCTGAAAAATAAATGCAATGCACTTTGACTAATCAAATATAAGGCACTTTATTCAACATATAGACAATGCATATTTTTATAAGGATGCATGAAAAATTTACAAAAATTGATACTAACATGATATAAAGAAATCCTCAGAAAATTTCAAAGAATAGGTATTATTCAGGTCATAAACAACAAAAAGTATTTGCTTTGGACTTCAATTGTGAAAAATGTATACATAAAAATCTCAATTTATTGAGAAATTTCAACGGTCAAATTACTCGTGGACTACATGAGAAATTGTTGAAAATAAAGAAAGAGGTTTGAACTAAATGACAATGAAAAGATTAAGGTCAATGAGTCAGAAGGAGTGAAGGGGAGTAGAGGATGAAAAACAAAAGAAGTGATATGCATTGTTGATATGTATCAATTCCTCATGGAAAATGTGATCACTATACACTGCAAATGTATATTAATAAAGATAAAAATTAAAAAGCCAGTGAAAAAAAGCATCAAGAGTGCTTAAAGAAAATCTATCTTTCAAGGGAGTAAAAAACTCATCTACTATTATTATCATTATTATTATTTGTACCAGGGATTGATCTCACGACCTCTTTCCTCTCACGAGAGGAAAGAATTGTTTTGTTACCCAAAAGGCAAGTGTTTATGCCATTGAGCTAAATCCCTGGCCCAAAACTCAACTATAATAATAATTATTATTATTATTTTGTCTTTTTCATTTTTATCAGTACCGGGGATCGAACTCACGACTGCCTGCTTGCAAGGCAGGCGCTTATGCCGCTGAGCTAAATCTCCAGCCCCTTAAAACTCAACTGTTATTAACAAGTGCTTTATCATATATTTTATTAACATAAACTATAAATGGAATAAACATCACCAGTGTGTATAACTTTATGTGTACAGTGCAATGACATTAAACACATTTATACTGTTGCGCAAGCATCCAGGGCACAGCTTTCCAAACTGAAACACTGCACACTTGAATCAGAAGCTTTACCTAGGACTTTGCCCCTTTCCCATGATTAGCTTATATAAAATACGAAAAATGTAAAGAAAGCAAGAAAAATATGTAATAAGTGTAAAAGTGCGGTGACATTAAATGGAAAATAAATACAGAGATCAGTAAAGTCGTGTTGCATGTCTGTGCACTACTAATCTTGATGTGTGATGTTTTTATACTTAGTTTTATACATAGTACACATACTTGTTGTGTTTTACATACTAAAGGATCTAAACTTTTCTACTCTTACCAAGGGTGGAACGAAAAGGAGAATGAGTATATTGAGGATAGTTAAACATATAATGAAATCATTTATTAGTGAAGGAATAAATTTAAAATAATGTAGAAATACATGAAGACTCTCAAAGAAGTTTGATTTTAAGGAATTTTTTTAAATCTTTGAATTTTTTTTCACTTGTCTGCATGATCTCCTTTAAATTTCCTAATTACTTTGTGTGAGAGGAAAGAATTGTTTTGTTACCCAAAAGCAACAACCTTAGAGAGTCCTCAGGTTGATACTGCTAAAAATAAGGTGAAGATAAAATTTCAGACCTTGCAGTTTCAATTTCCTGGCCATTTCTGTGACATATGGCCATCTGATTTTACATATTTTCAACCAGTGAGTGAGGTAAGTAAAATGCTGTATTTTAGGGTTGAAGGTTTAGCTCAGTGGTACAAGTGCTTGCTTGGCAAGACATGAGGTTGTGAGTTCAATCCCTGACACAAAAAATGCTGTATTTTAAAACAATTTTTAAACCTTAAATAAGTTGCAAATTTCCTCACAGTATCATTTACATCATTATTTTGTGGCACAAACAGCACTTCCTATAGAAGCCCAGAGCTTAACGTCAGGTAAAACCGGGGACAAACCCCATATTCACTGTCCTCCTGATGTTGAGCCAGTCCCCTAACTCTAGTAGGTCTGCTTTCTTATTTATAGATCAGAATGTTAGCGTCATTTCATAGTGCATAGTGCTCTTCTGAAGCTTCAGTAATTACTTGTATATATGAGCTTTAAATATATCTTCTGTATGAAGTATCAAATATAAATTTCCTACGCAAATGTCCCAAGCTTCAAACTACTTATTGTAGTGGATTTAGGAGTATGTAACACCACTTCTGCAATATCTCTTATGGGAAATGAGACAGACTTAATGTTAAAAAGCATAACCAGAATGTCCATTCAATCAGATTCTCTAAGTAGAAAATCCTGAAGAAAAAATATTTTCTTAAGTCAAAGCCTTTTTTTCTTATAGATAAGAAATGGGAAGACCTAGAAGAAGAGAGTGTAGAATTCCATGAAGATCATGGACTCAGAACCCTCTCTTTTAATGCCCTAACATTTCCTACTTTCTCATGACCCAGATCAGCATCGAAATGCAGATATCTTTGTGCTCTGGCCAGAAGAGGAAGAACAAAGGGAAAGTTGTTTTCAAAGGAAGTTTCTTGAAAGCCGCAATCTAAGAATTTGGTCACAGCACACTGCACAGCTCTGTCTAGCCAAAGCTCACCAATACAACCTGTATTCCAGGAAGTCTGCCCCACTAAATATTGGGGCTGCTCTTTTGACCTAAGATGGATAAGTATTGGGTTATATATAATTGAAAGCCTTTGCCACATGTCTGACATTTACTTGAGAGTTGTTACTTTTGTAATTTGTTTTTTCTTCTATTAATAATCTTTGAAGTAGAAGATCGAGATTATACTGTTGACATTTGACATTTTAATATCTTTAACAAATATGTTTCTATGAAGAATACAATTCTGTTTCCATTATAACTATTCTACCTGTGGACGTATAAGCAATGTCTACATCTAGTGCCATTACACTTCCTCATTAAATTCGCATCTGTGTTTGAGCTTTTTACAAAGTATTTCTAATAGTCCAGTGATCTTTATTTTTCTATATCTGGTCACATTAATAGATTAATGAGCACAGAGTATTATTCTGTTTTTTTGAGGATTTATAAAAAGTTTGCATATCTGTTAGAGAAAGTTTGCTTTCATCATGATTATTCATTGCTATTTGAGTTTTACCTCTCCTTAATCATTTAGATTTTTAGATAAACTTGTGCCTCAGGTGTTTTACTTCTAAAACTTCAGTTAAGAACTGTCAGTAGATTCAAGGAGCTCATCCAAGGAAGATACAGTGACCCCATCTTCACCCACAGAATTGGTACTTGATTCTTGGCACAAAAAAGGAATTTTGGAAAGCCTTAGAGAGCGGTATAGCCAGATTTCATTATGCAACATTAAAGAAGTTTATACTCACAGAAAATAGAGTGTAGGCTCTTGAGAGAGACAGGGGGTTGGGTTTGGGAATACGTATGTGTTCTTGAAAGTATTTAAAAATATCTAAGATATTTTGCCCTAAAATGCTCTTTGAACACTGAATTTATTTTTTCACCTTAAAGTCAGGGCATTGCCCCTTACCTTAGCAACCAAGTTAATCTGCAGACTTACAGTATCCTTAAGGAGTTTGGGAATGAAAGACAAGCACAGGCCAGCCTGCAGAGCGTAAGCCAGCACTGGGAGTACAACAAGTCTATAAGTAAAGATAGGGAGCACAGATGTGGGTCACCTTGGGCCACTTTGTTCATGTCCTGTAGTCTCAGTTTACTTGAAAGAACAATTTTAAGATTGTGATTTTCCTTGTCTCTTTTCTATCTGTTATAATTTCCTTTATTCAATTCCCAGATTAGGAAAAATCCCTAGTAAGGGAAAAATCATATGTAAGCACAAAAGACTTTGCATATCCAAAGCAGTCTTGAGGCAAAAAACAAAACAAACAAAGGAGAAAAAAAAACAAAACCCTCCAGAGGAATTATACTACTTGTCTTCAAAGTACACTATAAAGCTGTAGTAACCCAAATAGCATGGTTTTAGTATAAAAACACATAGAGAAAGGTGGGATATGATTGAGTACCAAAAAGTAACATATACGTACATCCTACTTGTATTTGATTAAGGTACTAAAACCATGAATTAGAGAAAGAACAGTCTGTTTAATAAACATTGTTGAGACAACTGGAATCCATGTGTGGGGAAAAAAAAAAAAAAAACCCTAGACTCTTCTCACAAAAGGCAGCCTATAATGGATTAAATACCCAAAGGGTGAGACACAAAACAATGAAACTGTTACTGGCACTTGACCGAAAGCTCTGAGGGTCCCAGACACAGGGTCCTACCACCCAGCCTGACTCCAGTTGAAGGGACACTGCATGGCAAGGGGGACTCTTGAGGACTACTGAGTACTGCATGCTGTGGACATCCTATCGGTTACTTTTCAGTGGTCAACATACAGTTGTACGCTTGCCTATGCAGGAGACACTTAAAGTTTAGCTTTGATTTGGTGAAGCTATGTCTTTAGTTATAATTCTAAGATTTTTTTTTTACTGAAAAAAATGGTTATTGGGACTTAATTACCTTTTGTCTCCAACAAAGTGGTTTTGTCTACTTGATTGTGTTATTTGGCTATGCTTCAAAGTTTTCGAAGAAATTTGTATTATAATGAAATCACATGCATTTTTTGTACGCCCTCAAAGAATATCACAACTCCTAGTAGAGCAAAGAAAATAGTGATAAGGTGTAATACAAGACAGGTCCGAGACTTCCTCCTACACTCGTTAATAAAAACCCTGCCACGATTTCAACCCCATTCTTGGCATCATGGGTTTCCTGCTTTCCTCGGCCTGGGTCCTGGTTGGTTGCATTTCTGTTGCTTTAGCAGCAGATTCCAATCTCTCAGATCTGTATCCTCCTCTGTGGAAGGAGAGTCCTGGTCAGTTCCCTCTCTACAAGGCACAGAATGGAAAATACATCATTGATCCCTGGGTATACACTGACAGAATGGGGATGTATAAAATCCTGCTGAAGCAGACAGCTGTCTATTTTGCAAAATTTGCCCCAGAAAATGAACAAAACATTTTATGGGGGCTGCCTCTTCAGCATGGCTGGCAATATAGTTCAGGTAAGAAAGACCACTGTTTTCATTTTAATGATCTCTCAGAATAACTGAAGTATTGACTCTTTATATTTGGACATGTTTTTAAAAATTGTTTTTCTCCTTTGTCTCATTATAATCATTACTTTTCTAAGTTTTCTTTTCCTTTTCCTTCTTTCACAAATTCTTCCTTCCAGAGTTGTCTGTTTCTGCTGGAGACGTTAGTGACCCTGAAAGCATAGTGACCAGCTACGGAAAGACATCAGGTCTAACCTAATTAGCATTTTACAACTACTAACTGAAGTCCCACTAGGTGTGAAAGTAGACTTTTTTCTTAGCATGTGGTTAAACAGAATTACCGAGTAGAAACAAAGTAAAAACAGGTTATGACAAATTAGTTTGAATTTCTTGGAGCTGTAACTGATTATCTGATCGTGTCCATACAGTTAGTTATACATCAGCAGCACTGTGTGCATGCAGATCTTTCCTTGCAATTTCTCTTTTTGGAGATAACTTCCAGTACAATGTATGTAAAGAAGATAGAATGCAGTACGAAATATTCATGACTCGAAAGATAATTTTCCTTTGGTTAACAGAAGGCACCCAAGAAAGAGTTATACTTGTTGCTCACCCCAGATGGATAACATAGCTAATTATAAAATAGTTGAGGAAGGGAAGCAAAAGAGCCATCTCATTTGTCAAACACAAGAAAGATTGTTTTCTAATGCTTACACAATACATAGTTACAGGTGAAACATTTTTGATGATTTTATCACCTTACACCAAAACTCATTGGCCTAATGTGTTTGTTATCCCAGTTTTACAGATGAGGAAACCGAGGCATGTGCCATGAGCACATTTAGACAAGACTACGGTAGAGAATCATGGGGCAAGGTTTTTTCTGACTCTTGGTCACTTCTTTTTCTTCCATAATTTTGGATAGTAGGTACAGAAGGTAGTGAAAGCAAAAATTTAAGACCTGTAATTTAAAAGTAAAAAGTTTTGTGCTTGAATCAGGAAAAGAAAATGATTGAGAGATAAGAAACAAAAAGCAGTAAAGAACAATGGAAATATAAACCCAGTAATTCATAAATACACATTTGTACATCTGTAGATAATAACAGCCACCTGTGTGAGGCTCATGACTCATTTTGAAATGTATCTAATGAATGCAACTGTGTGTTTCTGATTTCTAGGTAGATTAGCTGACCCCAGGAGAAGGACAAGCTGTGGCTATGAATCTGACCCTCTCTGCATTTCTATGGACAGTTGGTGGGCTGGTAAGTTCAACGAAATAGCTAAATGAAATATAGTATTTCCACCCAAAATCTTATAGAAACAGACAAGTCAAAAACACTACCATTCCTTTTTATTTATTTTTGTGTGCATGTGTTTCTCAAATTTTATTTCTTCAAAAATTATAATAATATATGTTTGGGACACACAATGAATATATTCATTGTGGGGTGTTGATATATATACATATCAGTAATCCATCCGTCTTACTTAGTAAATATCCATCTTAATAATGTTCCCTGTAAAAACTGAGTCCATCTCACACCATACCTGGTGATCTCTGTGTCATTTTATGGGATTTAATAGCCACAGGGCCTGGTGTAATTTTTAGAAAATAGTCAGATTTTCACAGAACAACTGGAACAAGGAACTGCAAAGGGCCCGGCTTCTAAAGGACCAATATGGGCGGTTAAATGACAGGCCCCAAAGGCCACAGGGATTCTTTGGAATGTGGAAGGGTAAGAAGTAAGGGACCAAGAAATCAATGCTTTATCGTTTTTCTCAGATCAAAAGTTAAAAATTAAAAGTGTAACTCATAAGTATATCAGAGAGTAACCTACTATACTTCATCAGTCAATCAATAATATAGGGTTTCACTCATAGACTAAAAGCTAAAATAACCAGAAAGCGTCTCCTAATTCTTTAGACTGGTGTTTGAATAATGAGACTAATTTACACAGCAACTTATTGGAATAATTAGAAACAAGGTCATGTTAAAGCTCACCTTTCGAGTGATACATGCAGTGTGTCTGCTGCTGTGTTTCCTTACGCTATGCTGAACCATATTTTCAGAAATTCTCCAATACTCAGGCTCACAGAGCTTGACTTTTTCTCAGATGCTACTGGAGATTGAAGAGTGAACCTGTCATGCTGGGGCATGGGTCTGTACTCACAAGTGTGTGTCTGTGGGGAAAAATATTTCATATCACTTAATTCCAGTGAAATCAATATAAATCTAGGTTGCAACTAGGTTAAGATGTCTAAAGTTGCTGGAATAAATATTTTATAGATAGAAAAGGAATCTTACTGAATGACTAATCTGATTAATTATTGTTCTAATGAGGTAGAAAGAGAATGTTGTCAATTCAATTAACTATTGTTCTAATGAGCTATCACCAGAAAACAAAAGAATTTCCTTTGGAAAATGGCACAAAGCAAAAGCTTAGTGATATTATGCTTACAAATTCAACTTGCATCTGTGAAATAGAAAATATTTATTTACTAAAGACACAGTCAAGTTAGAATATTTTACAAAAAAAATCCACAATGTGCAGTACAACCTTAGGTAAAGTTTTTCTATCATCCTGTGGATTAGCTGTGAAGTAATACACAGTTTTCTTCCTTGTTAACTTAATGCACTGAAGAAAGGTTATTACCAAATCTATTGAAATTAATTTTTGTTTGAAAATATTATATCAAGAACTATCAGCAGTACATATAAGTGGTTACAGAATTTGTAGGGGAAGTTAAAATTTTAAGTGGATTTTGTTCAGGATTATTTTTTCAGTGCCTAACTTTTATCACATGTTTCTAGACCTGTGTGTTTTTCCTTAATACATTCTGGGGTTTGACATTTATCACTGGTGGTGATAATAATAAGCCTTTTGTTCCTTCAGATATGAATTATTTTCTGAGTGTCCTACCTTTTCTTGCTGCCCTTGATTCTGGCATACTGGAGATATCACCTGACGAAGTCACACTTCTGCAACCCTCCACAGACCAGATACAGTTTTGCTATGATGTGTCTGCCTGTCGTTCCTCCTTCCCGCAGATAATAAACAAGTGGAGAGCATTTTTCCAGGTTCTTTCTTCAAATTTTATAATTTATATTCTTAAAACATGGCAAGAAAGTTCTTTCAGATGTATAACATTTTTGTCCTAGATTTTCTTAGTATTTTTCCTTAAAATGAAAATGTAAACCATTGTACTAAATATATTAATAATATGTGATATGGTAGAATATTACATATCATTGCAACACACTGTATTGTTAGCTTTTTGTCACTGTGACCAAATATCTGAGAAATATCAATGTAGTGGACGTATTTGGACACATGGGTCCAGTTTAGTCCATAGCTGGCTGGTTTCATTGCTGTGAGGCTGTGGCAAAGCAGACACATCATGGCAGAAGGGTAAGTGTGAGGAAAGCTGCTCGCCTCACGGCAATCTGGAAACAGAGAGAGAAGAAAAGATCCGGAGAGGGAGAGGCCACGGGCCAGATGCAGCCCCCAAGGCCAGAGCCTGCGGTCTACTCCCTTCAACACATCCCACCTTCGGATTCTGTCGCCTCCAATTCTGTGGAATTATGGTCTGATCAATCGATTCATCCATTGATGAAGATAAAGTTCCTGTGACACAATCACCCTCTGAAAGTCCTATTCCTGAACATGAGAGACTTTTGGGAGATATTTTAGAAATAAACTGTAATATCCACTATCCCCCAGTATAATATTAAAACAAATTTTGTTCATTCTTTTCACTTCATATAAATTGTATCACAAATTGTAAGCATATGGAATATATTCCTGTAAGATTAGCCAGCTGGCATGGTTAGTTGGAACTTCAGGTCAACTATGAGAACTAAAAAGAAATGTAAATATACCATTGGTTTTATCCCAGTGAATCAATGTATTTTAACTAACTAAATGATAGCATGTAGGTAGAACTAAATAATTATATGTTGTTCTGAACTAAATATTTTAGGATGACAATAAAATAGATTGGTTAAACTTAGGAATGGACTAAAATCATTGATAAAGAGATATATTTAACATCAGGTCATCACTTTAAACATGAATCTTAACATTTGAACATATGTTTGTTTTATTTTCTTAAGATTTTTATGATGATACTATGTTTATGGGAAAAAATGACAAAAATGACTCCTGGTCAGTATAAAATATGAGCTTTTGAAAACACTTGAAATTCATTGCTTCTGAGTGATGTGTTTTGCTAAAATTATTGCATATTTTTATCCTTTATAAAGGATTAGACACCAATATGCCTTATATGCACTAATTGTTAGAAGTGAAACTCTCCAGTCCTAAGGAATATGGCTCAACCGTATGACTAGCAAGCTTAGAATTCTGGAGTTGAGATGCTAAGGCGTTTCTCTTGTTTGCTTCAGTATGTGCAGACTCCTTCTAGCACCTTTGAAGATCTGTTGAAACACCTGTGGGATGCACACACGACATCCTTGAGAGAGTCTATTAAAATGTTTGAAGATAGGTAAGAGTGAATATCGGTCCTTAATAATGCTACCTTTGTTTTATTCATGCCTTTTTCCTCTGATAGAGTGATTTCAAAACTTGGTGTTAAGTAAAAAGTCCAGTCACTGGGGGTTAGAGTGGTGAGCTGAAGTATTTTAGCAGAGTGTGATTTAGAAAGTGCTGGGTGAAGAGGACCCAAAAAGTGTGAGATAAGGATATTGCTTTGAAAAAACAAATAGCATGAAAGGAATTTTCTGGCTGTAGAAAACAAGTAGAATATACAAAGGTGGATAATTTTTATTATTTTTATTACTTTAAATATATATTATATATAGTCATACATGATAAAGTATCAGCCGGTGTCAGGATTAACAGAGAAAATAGCCCAGATAATTAGCGAGGGACTCCATTTACTGTAACACCTGGAAGTGCAGCTCTAGAAGCAATTTTGATTTGCAAGTAAAAAGCATTCTCTAGAGTGTGAAATCTACCTCCTAGAGTGAGGTACAGGGTAGAAACACAGGTAAGGAAAATAGCAGACACAGTGAAAGCAGAGCTCAGTGGCCCTGCATGCATCAGTGGGTGAATCCAGGCAGAAAGGTTTGATTCATTCAGAGTCCACTCAGGTTTGTTTTTTCCCACCTATTTCATCATTTTTCAAGGTAAACAACTTGGTGGTTAGTTGACTTACAGGGATATCCTCCTCTTCCTGTTGATATGTCTTCAGCAACTTATTAATAAATTGGACAGTGTAAAAGCTTAGTCCCTTGGCAGTGTCTGACGCTGCCCTGGCAGTGATGTAACTTAGGGCTGCCCTCAGGACAGGTTGGACTCCAGGGTGCTTTCTAAGTGAATGCCTGGAACACAAAGGTGGCTGTCATCTGGCAAGGCTCTGGAAGGTGAGTAGAGATGGTCGCCTTAACATTCTGATTAACAGCAAAAGATATTTATAGGGTATACTCCTTATTTACAGGTCATTCCATTTTTCATAAAATATAATACAAAAATACAACTTTGGAAACAAGAGTATTTTAAATATTGAAAATTCTTAGATTTAGAGATTTTTTTCTTTTTAGATATTTCCTTTCTTTTATAGGTTTAGACCTTCAAACACCTTGGATTTACTCCCTTTTGGGCAATTGAATTGCATTTGATGAAAATATACTTTCATTGGGCAGTGTGATTTAAAAATTGCTCTAAAATAATACAAAATAAAAATTTTAGTATAACTTTATACTGAAATACAGTGTAAAAATGAAAACTTTTCCCATCACAAGCATATTAATTAAAAGGCATCCATTTCATTAGTAATTAGTAGGGTGTCATCTGCACAAATTATAACAAAAATACTTTTTATTAACATGCTTGATTTCCTGAATTTCTATTTTAACTTGATATTTCCCTGTAGGCATCAGTAAATCTTTACAAAATGAAATTAAAAATACTGCAATTATTAAGTAAAATAATAATTAAGTATCCTTAAATATTAGGGGTAAGCACAGGAAGGAATAGAAAGTATTTTCATGTAATAGGACTTATTTCAAAAACACTCCTTTTGGCGAATCCTGAGTGCATTCCTGATTTTTTCTGTAAGGTGATTAAAATCCAGCAGCAGGTGAGTGGCAGGGCTGGCATTCAAATTTTCCCTGACTCTGTGGCCCGCTGTGTCCTCTCACTGGGTGCTATGCTGCCTGCGATGGATGAGGCTCTCACTAGGTGCCAAAGAGCAGTTCCACCAAGGGTTTTCTCTACTTCTTGTTTACTGGTAAGGTTTTCTCTCCTGGAACCTGAGGTAACCAGGGGAGACAGTGACACAAAGAAAGAAGCCAGTAGAGAAAAATACAGAGTTATTGGGGTGGAGATTGGGTCCCCCTTCAGGTTTATAACAACAGGAGACTCATGAGCACGGAACAGGTTATCGTAAAAACTAGAGGTTGACAATCTCCTGGCCATGATTTCCCTGTTAATCTTAAAAAGTGCTTTACTATGGCAGGGGACTTTCACACATCTTTCTGGTTGTCTGGAACAGGGGTAGTATTTTTAGGGCTATGTGGCCTGTGCTCATCATCTTCCTGAACTGATGCTTCCTGTCATCATTATTTAATAGACACCTGTGATGTACCAGTAGGACTCAACCCACACCAGACATAGGTCATGAGGATCCAACTCTGCCCACTTTACCATCTCTGGCAGGGAGAATCCCGCCCACAAGGGGGTCAAACAGAAAGGATGTGTTCTCTCACCTATGTTATGCTTTACCTTACACTGATAAAATGCAGACATCATGTGTCTATTGCTGGCAAGTTAAAACCAATGATGTCACTTATGATATTAGAATTATAAAGAATATAACAAATCTTTAACTATGGAGACTGCACCCTATGAACACGGAAGAGTGGGAAGTGGTTTGTTTCAACTCCAGGTTCTGGGAAATGTAGCGAAGGACATCTAAAATGAGATTTGAAAGAGAATGCTATTGGTGAGCCACCTGTGTGATGTGCAACATGTCCTGGAACAGAAAAATGGTTGGAAAACTTCTAGTTATCACCATGCTGTAAATTACATAACCATGGAGTACATCATTGTAAAACCACTACAAGATGTGGTGGCAGATGCCTGTAATCCCAGCTACTCTCCAAGCTATGGCAGAAAGATTGCAGATTGGGGGCCAGATTGGGGAATGTTGCAAAATCATCTCAAATAAAAACAAAAGAGATCTGGAGATGTAACTTAGTGGTAGATTAGCCTGGGTTTAATCATCAGTGGAACTAGCAGACAAAAAAATCTATTTAGTACTTTCCACTGGCATAATTTTTCCCACAAAAATGAGTTAGAAAAAACATGTTGAAACATCAGCCTTATAGACATTTTTTCTAGTAGAAAAATTCTAAGTAATTTGAAAATTAACCAGAAAAGTATTCTGTTTCACCAGAAAGTTCAATGTTTTGGGAACTTTCCTGCTTCAGGAAATCAAGTTTTAAAGATGATGTCTGAGTCCAGCAAAAAGTTTGACATAGACCTTTGATATTTATCTCTGTATTGCTAAATATAATATTTATTTGAACATATTTCTACATCTAATTATATGGTTTTCAAATACAAATAGTCTAGTTCAAAAATATAAAATGCAAGCTAAAATATTAACAAGAGATGGAATGATTTATCCCAGAATTTCATTTTTAATTATGTACCTTCACATCTGACTGATTACTAGGCTAAAGTCATCACATCATAAAACCACTGTTAATAGCAAAAGAATTAACTATGCTTATTAGGAAAGATGATATTTCTAAAGAAAGCGAGTTTGAAATTCTGAGGTTGATATAGGGGAATGAAATGCCCAATCTATTATGTCCGTGAGTTTGTGTTCTCTAAAATCAAAGAATGAATTTTAGGAACAACGGAGGTAAGACTAGAATATATTTGAGAGAAAGGAAGCTTCTGTCTGAAGAGAGACAGAAGGGGTCCCCAGCGGGTTGCCAAGAAATGGGTCTTTTCCAGGGTCTTTTGTAGAGTGAAACCATCAGTTCAAGGTGGGAGGAGACTGGGAACTCACAAGGCAGATGGAAATAAGGTGGGACAAAACTATAGTTAGCCAATAAGATCAATAGTTCAGGTAAAATTGATTACACTAGGAACAAATAGGGAAGTGAGTCAGTAAAAAGCAGGCATTCTTACAGAGCAGTGACTCCTAGGGGGATGGGAATTATTTTGGGTATCAATCTCAGGCTGTGGGTGCATTTGTATGGTCTTTGGTCTCCAGGCCTGATCCACAGCAGGAGGCGTCAGCGTCCCAGTCACCTGCCAGGTGTTTGCACTGGCTCTATTGAGGACCTAGCCCTATCTCACTGCCTATAATATTTCTAACTAGCTCAACAAGGTGACTAATCATAATTGAATACTTTCCATTTTGTGTTAGGTATGGGTACTATTCTAAAGAAGAAGCAAACTTCGGGAAGAACTGGGCCGAGGCTGTACATTACTTAGCTGCCTCCCGATTTCCTACCACCTTGATTAGATCACACATCTTCCAGAAGGGTCTCCCACCGAGAATTCTTACCAGCGCTGACATAGCACCTTCCATCAGCAATTTCACTCAGCTCCAGAACACCGTCCTGGTGGCTCTGAACAAGATTGGTGACATGAGTACAGTCACAGGTAAGAAATGAATCTAAAGATTTGAATTATTAAGGCTGCACTGAAGTATTGCCAAAAGATTAGTTCAGTCAGAGGCATAAATTCACAATACAGACTCCAAAAGGAAATCCTTGATTTCTGACAGTCTCTTACATTTTTAAAGCAGTAATCATCTGGCGATATGGCAGGACATCAAACAATCATGGTCCTCATGCCCATGAGCTGATCTTTCATCTGGACTCTATTGAACTTAGGAGTGTAACGTCAAATAGAGTATACTTTGCTTCCTCAGCCCCACATGCATGCTTCATTTGTTCATTAGCTCTGCCTTTTAAAGAACTTTAAAACTTTGCTATCCATTTAAAAGGAAACAAAGGAATTTTAAAAAATTCTTACCATGATTAATGTAATTCCCATCAATTGGATTTATCACAATCTTTAGCTGAAACCCTATTAGTCAAGAGTCTCTTGCTGTATCACTTCTCATACCAAGTTTCCTAGCAGGGTAAAAATTAGCGTAATTCTTTGATTACAAGTTTGAAAATTACCGTGTCATTCCCATTTTCCACCCATGCATTGAAACTTCAAGCCACACTAAAAGCGTAATTATATTATTAGTGTTTTCTCAATGAAAATCCTCTTAAAGATATAAATGAAGCAAATTGACATGAACAAATTAAATACATTTAAAAAGTCCTTGATATTGCTTTGAGTAGCAAAAGCAGTCAAAATCCTCTCGTGTTTGACACTCGGTGTGTGAAGGTTCTCATTACTGGAATCTTGGCTGTGAAAGGCACAAATCAGTCAGAAGGCAGCTGTCTTTCTTCCACACAGAGTGGAAGAGCCAGTCTCCTTCTGTCTGTGGAAATCTTCCTCTGAGGATTATCCCAGAAAATGAGTAGACAAAATTCAGTTTGTCTAACAGATGTGCAGTTTCACTGAATAAATGTAGCGTAGTTAAGGACATTGGTTGTTACAGTTTGTAACAGTTTATGAAACCTAGTGCTGACATTCTAGGTATGCTTATCCTGCAGAATTTATGATTTCAGGACTAAAATCATAGGAGGAAATAAAGGTGCTGAGTGATATTGCCAAGTGATGTTGTTAGTACTGTAATAAAGACACACCATGTTTATTTTTCTTGGTGTAATTTATGATTTTATCAGTAAGTGGTAGAAAGTAAATGAAAGAAAATCAACGAATCATATATTGTCTGATGAAATTAAAAATGTTCTCAGGCGTTGTGTACAGTCCTTGCATGTTTTCCAGGTTCCTTGGCTTTGGCTACATGGAAGGTTTTGATGGTGACACAGGCCGCGAGAGAGCAGTTTCTGAAGTTCTTTGAAACGATGTTTGCATCTTTTCCTTAAAAGTTTTCAACAACTCTGTTTATCAACAGTCATTTAAAAAATAGTATAACTATAATCATGCAGTTTTTGTAGTTTTGCACTGATGCTTATTTGTTAGAAAATTTCCCACATATTTCTAAAAGTAAATTCAAAATAATACTACAATTATTCTGCTCAAGTCAAAATTCTGTATTTTTGAATTGAGCCATACTCATGCTTTATGATTGTGTGAAAGTATCAAAAATCACTAAGGAATTAATAAACATATTAAACTCACATGCCTTTTTTCATATTATCCTACATAATATCATTTTATGAAGATTAGAGAATTTTATCTTGCTAATTTATAGCCAAATATGGAATATTTTGAAATAAAACACTGATAGGTAATTTAAACATTTAAAGCTTATAAAAATAAATTGTCCAAAAGAATATACCAATTTATGACTTTTCTGTGTTTGTGATGACCCCAAGTTTATAGTGGTTCCTTGGTAGGGTTCCCCTCTTTAACCCATAGCTGATAGTGCATGTGCTAAGGTCGAGTTTGTCAGAGCTGCGGTCCTTCAGGAGATGATAGAAAACTGTGAAAACAGTCTCCTAAATCGATTGCCACCTCTTGTCCCATTATCAAGAGAAATGTTTACAGGCTACTATTTTTCCACTTTTCTTTTTTTCTGGTACTGGGGATCAAACTCACAACCTTGCGCTTGCCAGGCAGGCACTTATGCCACTGAGCTAAATTCCCAGCCCCTCAGGCTACTGTTTTGTAGACCAGATGTCAGACATGAGGGAAGAGTCTCTCACTTTCAACTTTTAGCAGCATTTTCCTGAGGCATTCACTACTTTACAACCTCAAGAAACCACTACATAAATTGGGAGAAGAACTTACAGTAGCACCAAATATTTAAAGTATGTATGTGAAAATACTGCCTGCGAGAGCAAACACGAAGGGTAATTTTAAATTCGCCACAGTCTGATATGTTTTCACCTGTGCAGCCAGTAAAAATACAGAGGAGCAAACTTGAATAGAGACGTAGGAAAATCCTCACTGATTCCCATAACTAGGAGCTGAATGATGTGATGTAACATGGAAAATTAAGTATTTGTATTTCAATTAGAAAAAAAGGGTTATTAAAGGCTTTTTACAAGAGATAGTTTACAAAGCTAACCACTAGAGCACGTAGAAAATATTTTCTATACTGAAATGTAGATGTAGTCATTTGAGAGAGGCAGAGAGGATGGAGGGAGTGAGGAGAAGGAGGGAGAGAGTGAAGTACCCGAACAGAACTTACTGCAGAAACCACACAAGAGAAACACAGAAGCACCACCGGCCACCTCAAAAGTGGCTTCTCCTTAGAATGACAGGTTGGGTTCTCGCTTTGTGATTTCCTCTCAAAGCAAACAGCCCAGAACTACTGCTTTGCCTTCTCTGGAAGAACAACATGTTTATCCAGGTAGACATAAAATATTCAGCATATTTATGGTACTTCATGGACTCCTGGGATCTCATGAAGTTGGTGAGCGGTGCTGTATAGGACCTACACCATGCCAAACCTGAGCCATGCACGGTTACGTGAGGACAAATTCACTGTTTTCTTCCTCATCTGCAAACCAAGTGTTCAAAGCCAGTGACGCCAGTGATGGCACTTAGAAGGTGACGTGCTGTGTGCACAGGAACGGGGATTAGATGTAGGAAAATTTATTAACAATGGATGCTTTGTGTGAAGTGGAAGAATAAGGTGGTGTTTCACACAGAAATAATGAACAGAAGGTGGCTTTTCCAGAGGACAAACCTTTTGCGCAAAACTGTGGAAATACAAAACAGTACAATAAGGCCCAAGAAATATTTGAATGCATTGAATATATGTGCAGAAATTGTTGCAAATAAGATTGTTGTTGAAATATTAAGATAAAACCCTAAAGGGCAGCCTCAGATACCATAACTGCTGGTCAGAGAGCGCATGAGACACCAGGCTTCCCACACACAGCGACCTCAAAACAAACCTTGGGCCTTCTGCGCCCTCTAAGTCCTCTTCCCAGTGCACCTTGAAACCCAGCAGGGCAAACCCTGCCCCATCCTGCAGTGTCCAAGCTGAGAGTCAGAGTTTTCACCAGAGGGGAGCATTCTGGTCTTACAGCCGGTGTGGTCACCTGACCGCCATCTCCCGTCCCTCTCCATGAACTTCTTTGCTCTTGTCCTCTTCTCTCCTCATTTCTGGGAACTGTTTTATAGAGTCTTTAAGTTACGTAACTCTTTTCTTACAAGGCAGCTCGTTACCCAGTGTGTACCAAGCTAAATTCTTAACAGATAGCAGATGCAATCCACCTTTTCCATTGTAATTTTTGTCTTTAAAGTGTGTTTGAAATCTCTAAGTCCATGAAGCATGTGCTCAGGCTGTCTATATCTCTGGACTTCCTGATTGCAGCACTGATCAGCCAAAATGAATTCCACTGGTTTGTAAATAATTTGTCCCACAACTTCCCTTAGAGTTGACAACCTTAACCTTAAGATGTAGTTGCTTTGCTTGACAAGTGATGTATAGCCTAATGAAATTAAGAAAAAAAAGATTTAAGAGTTCTAAGGATGAGATTGATGTGAACCAATACATACTGCTAGCCGTTATATTGTAAATTTCATCTAGATCAATGGATGGAAATCTGTCGCTTGGGGCTTCTCTCAGTTGTATTTTTATTACTGAGAGGAGATACCTGATACCCACCACTGTAAGAAAGGAAGATTTATTTTGTATCAAATTTGTAGACATTTCAATCCATAGGTAGCTGGCTCCAAGGCAAAGCGGCATGGCAGAGGGGAAACAGCTTAGGGCGCTGCAGGCAGGGAGCAGAGAGAGTAAGAACAACGGGAAGGGAGGGAGATGGACTCCGGCAGGGCACACCTTCTCTGACCAGCTTCACCCCCCATCACTCTTTGCTATGAACTCTTCAGTGGACGAATCTGTGGTTGGGTACCATGCACTGCAGTCGCCCATCAAAGGCCTCACCTATGAGCACATGAGGCTTTGGGGGAAATCTCTAGATATAAACCATAGCAGGGCTAAATCTGTAAAATTTTACTGGAACATAACATGCACATTTTTTATAGTTGTTCTTTTCCCATATGAGAGTAGAATTCAGCACCTGTTTGAATTGGTCATAACAGGGTTTTATATAACGGGGAAAAAAAATACCTGGCACCTACTGCTTAAAGGAAGAGAGATTTACTTTGGCTCATGGTTGCTGTCAGGGGTTGCTTGGCTGGAAGGCACAAACTCCATGGTAGAGCAGCATGGCAGAGGAGGGCTGTTCACCTACGCAAGCAGAGAAAGAGGGGAGAAGCCTCAGGAGAGACGCACCCTTCAAAGCCCTGCTCCCGTGACCCACCTCCTCCTGACAACACATTCATCTGTGAACTCGTTAATGGATTAATACCCAAAGCCCCACCTTGGATTATGCGATCTTTTTGGGGGGGGGCATGTTTGATGCAAATCAACATTGTGATACAGACATAATTGCCTGAACAGCTTATAATATTTATTATTTGGTCCCTATAGAAAAAAGTGACTGATAATGCAGGAATTAAGCTTGTAAGAGCAGCCAGAAAGTTTTTTTAAATGGAAAAAGTAGTGTAGGCCTTGTCCAGTCAGCAATTAGTGTTTAATAGATGGCATAGGTTTTGGAGATATGAATCCCAGGGGATATATACAAAGTGAGCAGATAATTACCTCGTTAGGGTGAGCCATCAGAATGGCTTACAAACGAATCAAATAATTCATAGATAAATCTGTGTTTGTAAAAAGTAGTATATTATATATGCAATACTTTAGAACTATGAGAAAAGGATTATTATTTATGTAACTGGATCCATCAACTGAGCATTTTGTGAAAGAAGGAAAGTTGTATCTTTTTGTTAACTTTATATAGAATAAATCCAATTTCTCTGATCCTATTTTTTTGGTGTTAGTTACTTTCTCATTGCTGAGATAGAATAGCTGACACCCAGCATCTTAAAGATGGAGAGCTTTATTTTTTCTATGGCTGCTGGCTTCAAGACAGAAATGGCATGATGGAAGTTCCTGCTGATGGAAAGCTCTTAAATCAGATCAAGTGGAAAGCAGGGAAAGAGAGGCAGGATCCCTGAGCAGGAACACACCACTCCAGAGCCTGCCTCAGTAACCCGCCTCTCCTGACCTGGTCCTGCTGTTTAACAGAAGCTTTCCCAGCACAGACATACGTCAGAGTTATTTACTCTGTCTAACCCATGAACAGGGCTTAATCTGGCACCTGACTTTGCTGCCCACTTCAAGAGCAGACAGAGGCCATGGAGTAGTTGTTATACAACAGGTAGCTGGTGAGAAAGAGCCAAGGCTCTGGCAGTCAGAAACTCTGCGGCCACAGGAATGATTTGGCCATGTGAAATCACACATTCCCACTCCTATCTCCAAATAGCTGCTTCCAGAGCTGCTGGTTTAAAGGAGGGATATCTTTCCTTCCTTTATGTGTCACAGGGCAGCTTCTCAGTATTTACAGTTCTCAGTGGATTCATTTCAGAGGCTGCGCACTGGGAGGGAGCCTACTGGGTCTCAAGGCAGATGCCTGCCCAGTCAGGTTAGTAAATATTTCTGTGGGGTCCTGGAGTCAGTAAAGTGCATTTTCCCTTGATTCCAAGAACAGGAAGCTCAGAAAAGACCTTATCAAGATGGCTCCCTGTGAGTGCACACAGTTTAGGCTGGGAAGCGACGGCCAGGGCCAGTTTGCTATGTGAGTCCCTGGTCTCCTGTCTGTTCAAACTGCACCTCTGTGCAAGTGGTGCTTACTGGGATCCTCCCTGCTTCTCACCTACAGCTCTTCTCTGCTTGGCTGATTGTGATTAGTTCTGGAGTGCTGTGCCTCCCTCGGCTCCACTACCTGAAGTCCCAGGGATTCTCCAAGTCTGTCTGTCTGCTATTGAATTTCAGCATTTTACAGTTACCTGTGGATAAGCAGCAGCTCTCCAGGTCTTCAGACTCTGCCTCATAGGAAAGTGGGCGAGCATTGGATGCTTCCTGCCAATCTTCTTAGATTTCTATCTGGTACTTTCAAAGATGATTAAGCTATTGTATAAGGAGTTATTACAATTTTTTTTCCAAGAAGTGTACAAATGGTATCTCCTATTTCAACGATTTTCAAATTGAAGTAATTAAACATCTGAATTCTACAAAGTTCCAAGACAAATAATCTTCTGTGGCACAGACTAAATTTACTAATTTTAACTTCTTAAAACTTTTCTTTTTTGAGAA